GAGGGCATATGGCGAGCGCGCGCGAGGGGGTTAGCAAGCAAAGCAACTCTGCTTTTGCATTTGCGGCTCTGAAGAAAATCGGCGACACCTGTTGCTCATCTCGGCACCTCTCCTCTGGCAGGTTTGGTGTCCATGATAATCCAAGGATCTTACGTGATACTGACCATAAGGCCCAGCATCACATGATCCTTTTTTGTACGCAAAGTGTGTGCATGCCATGAGCTCGTACAGTGCACCCATCGATCGATCATCAGCTTTGATATAAAAGGGATATTATTGGTACTAGTGGCCACAGCATTACAGATTTACAGGGTCTTTTGAATGAGTGATTGGTCTGGAGCTGGTTGACTAAAGAGGCTAAGGTTGATTCCATCATTAGAGTACTGCACAGGAACAGGAATGGCGATGCATGAGCGTTTGATTTGCAGTTCAGTAGTAGTAGAAGCAGCAGTATCTTCTAAGTCAAAAGTCAGCTCAAGAATAGAAGTATATAGAATTGCACCAGGCAGATGATTTACGGCATATTTCAGGCTCAGATCAATAAACAATCTTCTCTTGCCTTCTTTAGCGAAGCACGTCATGCTGATTACTGTCGTAGGTCAAATCAGACAGAGTTAACTAGTACTCATTTAAATGAAGGAATGCAATATAATTTTTTTTTGATCAAGAGGCGTGAAAGCCTCCCATTTCCATTACTAGAAATGATAGAGTTTACAGAGAGTTCAGAACAAAGTTAAGTAGCAGACACAAAGCCCACATTTTGTCGGGCTGAAAACAGGACAACACTCAGCAAGGTTTCTAAGAGAACCTGAAAACATCCTCCCAAAACAACATTCACCCAGGTGAAACTAAGCTAACTATCAGACTAAAGAAGAGCCTAAAGGAGCTCCAAGCCCCAGATCATTTTTTCGTTTTCCTGCATATCCAAGTGTTGTCAACAGCAGCCAATTCTTCTTGCCCCAGGCCTCCATCCAAACTTGGAGCAGAAGATATCATTTGCCACCTGTCTTAAGAGCTTGGCACCCAAGAGCAGCCTTCTTCGATCGGCCTCCGCCTTCTGCAAAATAGCCCAGGAGTCCATCCAATGACAGACCGAAAAAATAACATCAGTAGGATCATTTGGCAATTTTTTGTCAAAACAGGCTTTGTTTCTTGTTTTCCAAATGGCCCAAATTATAGCTGCCACACCAACAACAATCAAGTTCTTCATTTTTTTTCCCCAAATGCAGAGATCCAAGAGCCAAAGAGATGGTTGCTGTCTGACACAGGATTTATATCAAAAGCACAGTAGACAGTGTTCCAGATTAATTTGGCAATGGGACATTCAAAAAAGAGGTGCTGGATAGTCTCACTTTTGTCACAAAACTGGCAGTTTAAACTACCCTTCCTCCACCCTCCCTTGAACATATTGTCTTTAGTTAAGATTCTTCCCCTGAGCAAGAGCCAGAGAAAAACTTTAATTTTCAGGGGGATTTTGTAATTCCAAACCTTTTTCAGAGGTGAGCTGGCCTGTTGAACACACAGAGCCCTGTAAAAAGATTTCACAGAAAAGGTTCCATGTTTTGTCAGAGTCCAGCTATGTTTATCTTTAGCCCCTTCCTGAAAGTCCAACTCCCCAAATTTCGATTTGATCTTGTTCCAGTCATGTAGCTTATCCCCATATAAGGATCTTCTGAATTTGATCACCTCCCAGCCTTTCTCTTTTATCTTGGCTAAGGTAATGTGTTTAGAAAAAGTGATATTATACAGGGCAGGGTACTAGATGTTCAGGGGTCTGCCCCCTAACCAACTGTCTTCCCAAAACAAAATAGATTTCCCATCTCCAAGTTTCTTAGTACACAAAGAGTAGAACTTATCTTTTATTTCCATCAGCCCCTGCCAAAAATGTGAGTCACTAGGTTTGTTTTTTGTAATTGACATTGGTTTCTTCCTTGAGTATTTGTTTTTTAAAATATCTTGCCACCAACCCTCCTCGTAATTGACATTGGTTTCTTCCTTGAGTATTTGTTTTTTAAAATATCTTGCCACCAACCCTCCTCATTTTCGAGTTTCCAGATCCATTTCCCAAGTAGGGCTTTGTTCATAAGGTCTAAATCTAGGACTCCCAAACCACCCTGGTCCTTTGGAGAACAGATCACAGGCCACTGACCTTGGTGATACTTTCTAATCCCCTAATCCTCCTGCCAGAGCAACCTTCTTCTAAAGAAATCCATTCTCTCTTTCACCCCAGTGGGAAGTCTGTAAAATGATATCATGTATAAAGGTACATTGCTAAGGCTGGAATTGATCAGGATCAATCTCCCCCCAATGGATTGGAATCTGCCCTGCCAGCAGCCTAACTTATGTTCCATTTTGTTTTCAGCTACCTTCCAATCTTTTTTTAATATCCTTTTTTTATCAATGGGAACTCCCAAATATCTCATAGGCAAAGCACCTATGTTGCAAGTGAAGAGTTGACCATACAGATTTTGTTTCTTTCTTGCCTCACCAAAACAGAAAACCTCACTTTTGTTAAAGTTAATTTTAAGTCCAGACAACTGTTCAAAAAGGCAAAGGATATATTTCAAATTTCTAGCATGTTCTAAGTTGTCTGAAAGCAGGAAAATAGTGTCATCAGCGTATTGTAAAATGGAAACCCTATTGTCATCATCAGTTCCCAGACCTTCTAAAAGGGAACTGATAGATTCAGTAGTGAAAAACTGAATCTGTTCACCTCTCCGGCATATGGCTCAGTTTACTGTTAGATACTAGTCCTGCCCATGTATAACAATAGTCAAAATGGATGTTTTCAGAGTAAAAATGGTGGGGAAAGAATGATCAAGTTGGCTATCTGACGATCAGAAAAGCCAAAGGGAGTGATGAATAAAGCAAAATCTGTACTAATTGACTAAGCTGCCATACATGTGTACCCGTCTGACTTTGCAACGAAAAGTAGGAAAGGCCATGAATAAAGCTAAATATGCATTGTAAACTCGACTACAACGCAATATGCTAGATCGTCATAAGATCCTATTTATACATTCTTGAAAAGTTGGCTTTTTCTGAGAGCAGGTAATGATCTGACAGCACGGATTCTTTCATATTTGTCATTGTAATTACAGTTTGGGAAACACGGAAAACTTCTTTCGACGAGATGAACACTTGTTCCAATTTCTTTTGTACGATTTGAATGAGATCTAAGAAGAGGAAAAAAGAAAGGCAAACATGGTTGAAAGGAGAGAAAAATCAAAAGGTAATACATGTTGTCAATAGAGTATAATTGCTTTGGAAGGCAGCTATAGCTAACTTGCACATGAAGAAGCAAATTTTTCCCAGAAAAGATCTCTGACAGCCAATCTAACTACATAAATGTTTCATTGAAATACAACCTCTGTTATTTTTCTAATAAAATGGTACCCTTTCAAAGTATCAATGCATTCTACGTGGATTCCTTTGACGAGTTTTGCACGTCACTTTCTCTATGATCTCACGATTTCCCCTTAGTTCCAGGGATACCTTATTAGTCAATAAAATGAATAAGCTACCTGCCCCTTTTCTCATCCAGCCTTTTCAGGAACGACCTGCCCTAAAGAAACACAAAAAATATTGCAACTAGTTGGGGCTTTGAGAGATGAAAATTTGACAAAACATGGATGACTTCAAAGGCCGAGTCCAAGGCTAATTAAGCTGCGTATCCAAACTCCCTCGAAGAAGCGATCACAATCGAACAACGCAAGGGAGAAGATCAACCACCCTCAAGTAAGAAAATGAAATGCTACAGCGAATTCTAAAGGAGATGCCTGGTTCTTCCTGAAATGTCAATTTTGTCATGTCATCGACCTACCACCTAACACTAGACTAACCTCAGATGTTCAGTGAACTCATTGTCTACTAGGCCTGGTGATTTGATAATTAACCTAGGATAAGGCACGAGTGGACCGAGACAAATTGACAGTGCAGTACAATAAATGAAGAATTACAGGGCTGATTTGTAACGCGTCTCACCAAGGCCGAGCAAAAGCATCAAGAAGTAAAATAGGTGTCAACTACTCTACTTAATGAATAACACCAAATGACTTTTTTTGAAAGATCAACACCAAATAACTTCATAACATGTGATCTTGAACTGGACGGTACAGAGAGAACAGTACTATGAAAACTCGAAAAGCAACATTCGAAGCAAGACTGCAAAAAAATGTGGAACATATTGCTGCAACGCTCGAACGTTTGAGCTGTGCTTCTAGAGGAAAGGTGATGCAGCGAGGGCACCAACTATTAGTAGGTCGCAACCTGCAAAGTCAGGAGCAAAAAGGTCAAATCTCTCTTTGTCAAGCCTCTCGAGTAGACGTGCTCAGATGAGCATGACCATTATTTTTCCAGAGATGGCCACCAGTCTCAAAGACTCCATGACAAGCAGGTCCTCTCTGCACCAAGAGATCATCATCTTAAGCTTACATCCTTGATTGTAACCTTGGGTTGGTATATTCAATGAAATGATTCGGTGGTAAAACTTTCTGCAGGTTGAAACAGTGATCACTTCTCTGCAGGTAGCTGAAAGTTTCAAAATGTATCTTTCAAAAGGATGTAGATCCCATTATGCTGAACAGTCCGTTCCTTCACTATAAAGTTGTCGAGCTACAATATCCAAAAGTGAAGAACCTGGCTACGACCCTATTGCCTGCTGTACACCAATGGAAGGAATATCGATACTCCAATGGAACATCGATGGAATGACGGGAACATCTTTGACAACTTTGCTTCATGCAAATGCTTCCGTGGGAAGCTTGTTGATGTATTGTCCTCAGATACTAGATTCTTCACGAATGTTCTGTGTCGTTCACCTACTGATGTCTCCGTCATAAAACTGCAAGTTCATAGCAATCCCAACTGAAAACATCCAAGCACTCTAGTGAAAACTTGTTATCTAAGCAGTGTCGTGTGAACATCGGAGCTTTCAGAGGCAGCACATCTGACAGCGAATTGGTTCCACGTTCACAGCGCGTCAAAAAGATAGTGTCAAGGGAGCAAATACGATTTTATAGATAGCAATATAAACTACAAGAATGTATCTTGTAAAATGTCTTAATCAAAAACAAAGGAAATAAAAATCATATCTTAGGATGAATGGTAGGACAAGAGGAGCACGAATAAAGCGAACAGAGAATTCCATCCAAAGCTCACACAATCTTCGGTTCCAGTTCAGACATTAATAAGGTCCTTTTCTATAACCTGTAAAGAAGATGAAAAATTGAGTTTTTCAGAAATGCATTGTTGATAATGCAACCACGAACTGCTACTTTATTCTCCCAGTTGATAAATACTACTCTACTATGCTAGTGCAATCCAGCGAAGAGAAAATAGAGACCCAAAGCGCAACAGCTGCATGGCTTTGGTTGCTCCAATGAACAAACCGTGTTCACACTTGCATGGAGACAAAAGTGATGTGCGCATTGCTGTGCATTTCGTTATAGACTTGGAAAGGGAACCAACATAATCTTTGTGCAGAAGTAAATTCCTCGAACCAAGAATATATGTCTTTGCTTTCTTCTTTCTGTTCAGAAAAAAAGGATAGCTCTAGGCCAAGTGGCCAACACCAAAAAGTTTGCCTACAATTTATGTACACACCGTAGCATTGTGACTTCTATCCGTAGGTTAGAAATCATTGGCCAGATGACATATCCTCGAAAAATGTCTTAGTGCAAGTTTGATCTGAACCAAACTGGCATGGCATAAAACATCTATTAGCTAGTCCTGATAGCTAATCAATCCACTGGTAAGCAACATGCATCAGAAACATAGTGCTTATTTTCTGGATAAGCCAACTATTGCTATATTTTTCTTTTTAAAAAAATGGAGTCTACTTTAGCAGAACTTGAAGCTCAGCACAAAATATGTATCAGATAATCTGAATCCAATAATGCACATATATACACTTTATAAGGATAAAAAAGGTGCTCCTAAAAAAAGGAGGATGAAAAGGATAGCTCTCACCTCTCAGGAACACACAGTTATTCCAATACATTATGAAAAGTAAAAGCCGAAATGGACTATGAATAATTAACTTGAGATTTGGAGGATTGAAGAATTAGAGCTTCTGATCCGAATCAATATAAATGTAGTTTGCTAGACCGATTTGCATGAGTGGTAGGAAACCTGAATCAGAATAAGGGTAATGCATTAGGCGATGAACTTACTGTGATTGAGCTGGAAGGTATCATTATCCTTTAAGTGGGGAAGTGGGGAACTTTGACTGTCATCCTAAAGGAATTGTCTGAGCACTATTCTTTTCTGTTCTTCTGAAAATCAAAGCATTGTAGAAGTATATATGCATTTTGAAGCACAGTTGCTTTGTTAACTACAAATCCTCCAAAGTAATTTCAAATAATTACGCAGAAATAATAAGAAACCAAACTTGCAAAGTTTGATAGGCAGCATGGCCACCATTATAAGGGAACAAGTAATGACAAAGTCATGACTCTTTGCATATATTATGACCAAATCCATAGTACTGTTGCTGAAATTGTCAACAGTAAAGGAATAACACTCTCCATAAGACTAACAGAAAGGGGCCAGATAAACAATAATGCAATTAGATGTTTCCTGCTACAGAGAACATCACACAAAATAACATAAATATTTAATATAGGTAAGGGAGAATTACATGAGTCACCTTTGAGCTAAAAGACAATAATAGTAGTAACTTTCAGTTGCAACGGCCATCATGAGTGCAGTGTGCGACTGAACATAATCATTTCACAGGATGGCTGCTAGACCCTCCTTTTTAACAGGCGGCCTGTTCCCTGGAAATGCACTGCGGGATACATCAACAAGTGCCTTGAAGCTGTAGGGCTCATGCATAGAAAGCTCTGAGAGCACCTTCCGGTTGAGCTGGATGTTCTCCTTCATCAATCCATGCATGAAATTTCCATAGTTCACCTGGTAGTCAAATGCAAGAAAAGAGCTACTTAAACTCCAAGATGTAAGTCTAGTAGTGTTATCTTGAATTGTTTGTTTTGAAAGGCTCAAGCACAGGATGGAACGGCGTATGATTAGATCTTTCCTAGCAACTACCAATGATATTTCCTTTTTGACAGCTTGAGTGCAATGGATACATACCCCATGCAATCGTGTACCAGCATTGATACGCTCTATCCAAAGGGATCGCATATCCCTCTTCTTGTTATGTCTATCCCTGTAGGAATATTGCAAGGCTTTCTCAACCCTCTCCCTTGCTATCCTTATGCAATTTTTCGCCCTGCCTCTAAATCCCTTTGCCAACTTGAAAATCTTGCCCTTGTTCATTTTCTAATAATAGAAGATTCACCCAGAAGCCTTTTCTCCCTTCCTGAGATGTGAAATAAAAGTTAGAAGTATAGATATTTCCTTCGTCCCAAAATATAAGGCATCCAAATTTTCAGGAAAATCAATGGTTGTAACATTAATTAAACTATAAACTAACAATATATATGTTCAGCATCACGGATGTGATGTCATAAGATATGTATTTAAAAGTACTTCCATATGTTGTTCATGATATATTATGAAGGAAATTAATGGTTGAAGCATAGTGTTGGAGATTGTAAAAGTCTAATGTGCCTTGTATTTTGGGACCTAAGAAGTAATGCATAGCTAGAAGCAATATTCAAGTAGGGCTCTCCTGTTCTCGAAAAAATAACCACAACTCTAGAAGCAAGCTCATGTCCCCTTATCCTACACTAGAAAACGAACATTGAACGAATTGTACAATCACACAAATTCATTTATGAACTGCGGTCATGCACTGCAGGAAACTAATACTATTAATCGAATTGACAGAGCTAACAGAAATAAGCTACTGTAAGAATTAAGATAGAGAACTATGGCACATCCAGAACCCTGCTAAAACAGCACTGAGTATGAACTCGCGCAAATCACACTGGATCATATATTGAAATTAAGAGGAGAGAATGAAATTAACAGGGACAATGACAACACATAAGAATCACAAATTAAAATTGAGTAATAGCGAACAGATTTTTTTTTGGTTGTGGGGGGGGGGGTGAGAAGAATACTGAATAGAAATCGATCGAGAACAAGGGGAACAGAGGAAATGGGGGTCCGAAGAAGATCAACATGAGTCGCCGATGTTACAGAAGTATAGAAATCGAGAACGGTGAAGGGATTGCCGAGGGTGCAACAGTGCAAAGTCCCCATCGATCCACTCGGCGGCAGTCCAGGGGACGTGGGGGAGGTTTCAACGTAGGGGCGCTGCAGAATGGTGGCCTCGAGCGAGTAAGGCCCGACCTCGCCGCCGCCGGAGTTGTGAGAGGACAGAGGAAGGGCGGATCGGTGGATGGAGCCGCCTCCGGCGATTGGGGTAAAAAAAGAAAAACAAAGGAAAGGGGAGCAACGGAGAAGTGCGTACCCGACCGTCGAAGAGTCACTGCGTCTGCGTGGTGGACCGGCCGCCGGGTGGCTGCTGCTCGCCGGAACGAGGCGGCAAGGCTAAGGCGAGGCGGCGGCGGCGGCGGATGCTCGTGCTGTGTGCCTGTGAATCGTAGGCTTTTTCTCCTCCACGTCCTTAGTGGGCTCATTTATGGACTGGGCTTTTTCTCTACTTGTTGGGCCTTATTCTCTGCGTTCTTAGTAGGCTCAAATGGACTGGGATCAGCAAAGGAATGGCCTTATTCTCTTCTTGGTCCCAGTTTACTGAATTACTGTGAGCAAGCGTGGCCAGCTTGAGCTTTCTCATGAGAAATAAAAAGCTGCATAGCTTGAAACTAAAATACCCATACTGTTATCATGAGCTGATAGTAATACGCAATGTTTGAAATAAATAACAGCGACATATTTTAACTTTCCGGGGGCATTATTTGTGTCACATATACAATATATGCGTAAGCTTAGCGTACATATGAAAATATACAAGGATACACGTACAGGGAGTACGTATATACAGTATGACGACATACATGATCAACTAGCAGTATATTGTACTGTATTGACGGGAGACGGGGGAGGTAGGCCACATTGTTCTCCTTTTCTTCCCCCCAAGCTAAACAGAGAGTTTAATTTGTTGCAGGTATATATGTACACGTGAATGTGTGTTATTGTGTTTGTGTAGTAACTTGAAAGATCGATCATTTCAGAGTTTGAGACCGACCGAGACCGATCGATATGGGTCGTTAATTAGAACTGGGAGAGGAACTGGAGCTGCTTGAGGATGGGGGTGAGGGCCTCCATGAGCTTCTCGCAGGGGTGGTTGTGCACGCCCTCGTACGTAGTCACCACGATGCTCGTGTCCTTGGCGAGCCGCTGCACTTGCTTCTTCACGTTGCACGTGTGGTGCGTGCACCGGTAGTAGCTCCTGCATATATGTTGTAATACGTGCACTTATGCGACAGGAAATGAGTATATATAAAGGAAAAGTCCATTTTTATCCCTTAAGACATCTACTTATATATTACATGTCCTCTACATAGTTACGAAAAACTATATAGAAATTTGACAATACACATATATCAATATATGTGATATACTAGTTCACAAATAAAGTTCAAATTCAACTTATATATATTAAAAAAGAACAACAAATATGACTATAAATAGTACATGTTATTTTTTTTATATATAATAGAAATAGATTATATATCTAGCCTTTGCCGTTGGCTAGCTAGTTAGAGCTTAATCTGTTTATTTTGTTTCTAGTTGTATAGATTAATTTTTAACTTGCATGTTTGTAAGGTAAGATATATATCACATATTGATATACTTCATCAAGTATTTTTATTCTTTTTAACAATTTGGAGGACATGCAATATTTTCACGTAAAAAAGAAGAGGGTATTCAGGGACAAATATATATACATCTCTGTCTTGTACTACCCAGTTATTAATCGCCAAGGACTTTTTTTTTCTTGTTTTTTAAACAAACCGCGCGCACAGAGTTGTTTGATATCGTTGAACCCACGAAATAACCGTTTGCTACAACATTTGACTATGAATGCGCCACACATGCCTGCACTGTAATCATCGTGCATATGTATTCAGGTATGTTTGCTGTGGGGTGAGAATGAAATGAACTGTCCATGGACCATGGTCTTATATATATGCATGTTCAAAATATATATTGTAGTTTTTCCTTGAATATGTCCCGTCGTTTTTTTAATAACACTTGATAGTGTGTAACACATATATATGTAAATTGTGAAATCTACTCATACACGCATAGGCACATGGCAATTTGCATAATTATATCAAATATGTAGTTTTTTCTACGCCACTATCAACAGTGAATAGGCTCTTGAGAGGCTCCCAATTTGCTATATATAGTGTAACAGTGCCCGCCATCGCCCCTCCCCTACGGTTCACGCTAATTATATAATCCAGCAAGCTTAGCCAATCATAGTCATCAGTGTCCTATCGCGTTATCGCCTTTCTCAAGTTCTCACTCGCTAGCTCCCTAACACACCCCACACCCCCTCCCCTTCCACACGCTGCTACCTTGTTATATAAATGTGTAAGTTCATAACAAATTACAATGTCATTATCGTGGTTTTACAAAAAGTAGATTTTATTAAATATATTCTAGAACTAACAAACTATAATTTTGTTTGAATCTCAACAATATGTAACGGGGTGGTAGGAGGTAGATTCCAGTCAATGCGCTTCTTAATTTTCTTTTCTTTTCTTTTTTTTTGCATTGCTGGTTGATATAGTAGAGATGAACGCATGTAGAAAAATATGAAATGTCATTTATTCAGAGCGATGGCCTTCTTGGATTTTTAATTTCACTGAAATCAATATTCATTGAAACATAGTTCAAACATTCCTAATTTTAAAATTTCTTGAATTTACATTGAAAATATTAATTTGATCCTTAACATTTTAAAATATGAATTGTACATTTCATAATGTCTGATTTCCTTATGTTACAATTCTAACTTTTATTTTATTAATTAACATTAAATTGACATCCTAAAGTGTAAATTAACTATTAGGCCATAACTTTGTTATATTTTGCAATTTCATTCAAATTTTGTAAGTTCTTAAGAAACAACATTTATATCACTATGAATGTATATATACTTATTTTAATATAGAAGGACATGAAATTACCAAAACCCCAAGGGCAATATATACAAAGTCATTTTAGGGACCGTTGTGTGACCAAGCAAACATATGAGAGAGGGGATCCTAAATTCCAAGATATTGACTTTTAAAATCCGTTCTAATTCTAAGTTGGAAGCATGGAAAATACAAAATTCTACCTAAAATTTCTTTGTAGTTAAATTAATTAAAATGCATATTTTTTCATTGATGTTCCTAAAAATTAAAGTTCAGACATTAATTTTTATTCATTTAAAAATCGTGAACATTGGATGAAACTGGTTCATCATCTAGATAGTTGAAGCTTTCAGATCATTAATTGTTTGAGTTGACCTTTTTTTTTAGAATGGTGATTTTGTTGAATATGAATTCTTTTTGCGAGGAATATAAAGTCTTATGTTTCCAAAAGCTTGACGTTGTGGGCAGTTATTAGAATATAAATAAACTTGGATTTAATAACGAGATAAGTTATGTGTTGTCACTATAGGCGAAGAGAGATTTGGCGAACAAGAACAGAACGTAGCTCTCCTAACACAACCTGCGTATATAACCCGACCGAGCTATATATCCAAACATAACAGGCACGTCATGCAGCCATGCATGTTGGCTCATGCATTAGTTAGCTAGGGAGCGTTGAACCTCCCAGCTGTTCTTAATCCACGGTCAAAATTACATGCCCAAACGTATATATTATATATAGATTCAATTTTCAAGTTTTGATTTTGAATTACATGTTGTAAATAATTTAAATTTAAACGAAATCTCAACACTCTCAGCGCATGCAATCAGACAACAATAAGTTAGAATTGTTATTAGCATGAATTAACCTAGCCGGTCGAAATCGAAAATATGTAGAGAGATCGAAGAACTTAATTAGCCGATCGAACCTGGGGTGCTTGCTGTTCTTGACGGCCTTCTGCCCGTACTTCCTCCATCGGTAGCCGTCGTCCAGGATGTCGTTGTCGCTCCTCGTCTGGAACGCGAACCGCGGCCGGCTCGCCTTCTTCTTCGTCCCCGACGGCCTCCCCGCCCCGCCCTTCGCCATCACCTGCTTCTCCTTGTTACCTGCCCCGCTGCTCTCGGCCGCCTGCAGATCGCCGTGATCGTTCTCCCCGCTGTACTGATCCGCCTGCGCCGCCGCCGCCGGTTGCTGCTGCTCCAGCACCGGAGGCGGTACCTGCAGGCACGTCTGCAGGAGCGACTGCCAGTCCAAGGACGTCATCGCCGGCAGCATCATCGGCACCGCCGTCGTCGCCGCTAGCTGAGGGCCATCGACCAGGCCATCGGGATGCAGGTTATTACTACACGGCGGCTGCTCGAGCACCTCGAGTGGGCCGTGCTGGTGACCATCCGACGTCGTCGCCGATGCCGCCGGCGCGACGGCGAGCGGCGGCGGTGACGGCACCGCGAAGTAGGGGAAGTGAGGGAGCGCTTCGTCGTCGTGATCATCTCCCTGGAGCTGGAGGTTCTCCATATCTCGATCGGCGCAGGTTCAGGCGGCCGGACGTGCGCCACGTTACCGGCGATTTTATACCTGGTGAATCGATCGAACAGCTGGAGTGCGCGTGTGGAATAAGACGCTAGAAGCCAAGGGGAAGTTGGGCAAGCGTGCACGCTCAAAGCCAAGGGAAAAGATTACAAATCAGACAGAGAGATGGAGATTGGAGAGAGGGCGAGAGATAGAGCACAACCAGATCACAACCACCCTGTATCTAAGGTCGCTCACCTGCCCGTCGTCTCGTCCCTCAACGAGTCATAGAAATTTTAACTTCGCCGATCCATGCATGCATGCATGGATGGAAGCTTGTGGGATACGTTGTTGCATATTGTCCCCTCTCTGTTAATTAGCCTTGTCTGATGTCTCCATGATAATATATATACTACTCGTGGATTAATAAGAGAGCTATCGCCTCGACCGTTTCAGATAGGTTTGGAGACGAAGTCAAAAGGTGTTCCTGTCTGTAAAAGTTACAGTACGTATACGTACGTACTCTACTGGTACGTAAAGTTAACTAGGAAAAGTTCTGATTCACGGCAGGACGGCACGGTTCGTTCTAGATCGTTTCTTCTCTTGGGTCGTCTTTTGCAGTTTTTAGCTGATGAATGATGACCGGTCGAGCGCTTGCAGGTTGAATGGCCGATGGAGGCGGTCGATGCAATGGTAGCTTTGCGTTTGGTGGGGTCAGGTGCATGCACACGTTCGTGCAAAATGCCAGCACTCAGCAGCAGGTTAATTAATATATCCAACTGTTCATGCAAATTTATTTACGAGCTAGAGATTATACGTGCATCGTCGATATTTACTATTACCTCTGTTTCAGGTTATAAGACTTTTTAACATTATCCATATTTATATAATTATTAATGAATCTAGATACAATTTGTTAGAAAGTCTTATAACCTGAAACGGAAAAAGTAGAAATTAATCTGGTCTCTACATTAAATTAATCGTGATTTTTATATTCAGTATGAAGAATAAATGCGTACTCCCTAATTACGACGAGAAGCTTAACGCAGAAACAACCTCTCGATCGACGATGATGTCAGACATGGATATTCATCATCGATCTTTAATTTAGGATCGACGTCGTCTATCATCGATCATCATCGTGGACAGCGATTGATCCATATATAACCACGCAGCTTGTCCGACACTTCGTTGCTAGGCATATAAATTAACGCAGATTACGTGTCGCAATTCGATCGCCACTAATTAATTAAAGGCGCTTCCTCGTTACGCGACGTTTCCGATCGACACATATATATACACACGCATATACATATACATACATACACACACTAGCATAGATGTCTGTTCGTTGCTATGGGTGTTTAAATTATATGACTACTACTTTTATGCATTGTGTTTTTTTAGATGGTGGAAAGCAGATGTCCTATAATGAGATTAATTTTACGTGAATTTATAATCTATCTTCGTCAGAAAATAAATCCATATAATAAAAACATCAAGCTAAAATTCTCACTAGTTCCATTTAGCTAGAATTGAATTAATGAATTGTCATAATTTTTTTTCATAATTTTTCAGCAACATTAAACAGATGGGGTGGCGATGGTGGTACCTCGACGGCGACCAAACTCATGTCGCTCGTGTCTCTGGCGAGGTCCGACGCCAGGCCAAAGTCGATTGAGAGTGCATGCGATGAATCATGCCATGTATGGCTGAAGATCGAAACCGATGAGACCATGATTCAGGTGGCTGAAATTTTGCTGGATTTGGGTTTTTTTTCTTTCATAAATTATTGTATTTGGGATCTAATTCAAGGAAATTTTGTAACCAACCTTTGTATGTTGTATATGCAAGCTCTCGTAGTATAACACAAACAGTTGTATATAACCAAATTGTTTAATTTTAGTACCATATATGTAAAATCCCCATCATAACCGATTTGACACAGACTCGGGATGATTTTTGTGTGTTGGACTTGGAATGTTGCGGACGAAAAAAATTAGGTGACGACGAACGAATTTTTTTTTAATCCATATGTGTTTTTTATTATATAATATTATAGGTATAGATTTACAACAACTGAAAATCGAATACATCTTTGTTATTTTTTTCTACAACCTTCTCTAAGAAAAGGAAGCCTAAGATCTCCTTGCTAGCTAGCCATTATTTGCATCAGAAAAATAGGAGTCCAGTCGTGATTTGCATGCGTGTCAAATCTATTATCCACGTGAAGTAAAAGAAGAATCTATCCACATGCAAAGATAAATGTTAGTCCATCTTGACTTTTTAAAGTCTTTCATCGCTGGCCCTTGTTCTGGATGGAAAGCCAAGTCTCAATGTGAGTCGCGTAGAAGTCATAAAGTTCCTTCTTCTCCTGTTCCCCTTCCCTTGCTACAGTAACTCTCCCAAATCCCTCCCCTCCAGCCCCTCTTCCCCTTCGATTCCGGTGGTTCGCCTCCGGCGAGGGCTAGAGTAGGGGTCCGGCCACCTTCCCCCCTACTAGCATAGTGTGGTCAGATGTCTCCTGTAGTTAGGGTTTGTCCCTTGTTGGTTGCTTTTACCGGTGAGTCCCCTGTGCTGATGTGGTCGGCGACGGCGACGGTTGGCGGCGGTGGAAGTGCGAGATCCGAAGCTCTGTGGTCGATTCGACGGATGAAGATGGCTCCTTGCGGTGGTGCCGGTTGCGTTGCCGTCTTAGGCCGGGAGGTCACCGCCCTGCTCCTTGCGATGTGGTCGACGACGGCGACGGTTGGCAGCGGTAGAGGCGCGAGATCTGAAGCCCTGTGGTCGTTTCAACGGAGGGAGGTGGCTCCTCGTGGCGGTGCCAGCTGTGATGCCTTCTTCGTCTAGGAGGTCACTGTCCTGCTCCTTGCGACGGTTGCGGCGGCTCCTTGTGGCTCCCGTCGGCCAGGTTTGCTGTTGCTCGGCGCGCGCAGCTCGTGGTGCGCGTTGACTTCCCGCCGGCTTTGTGGCAGTGGTTTCTCTGGTGCATGTGCTTTCAATGCAAAGGTTTCCATCAAAGATTTGCAGGATTTCACTTCCCCTCCCCCATACGTCACTCCTAGAAGACATCAGTTCGTTTGCCACCATTCGAGTTCTTCAGTGGTTTTAGGGATCCGGATTTGGGCTCCTTCTTCCTATGTCTTTCCTCTAGCTTGTTCCATGCAAGGTTTGTTGTTCGAGTTGAGCTCACGCTCCTCAGATTTAATGATGAACTCCGTGGACATCTTAAGCTTGCTGAGTCCGGGGATGCTCACTCCAAAATCTACGGCTCAGCAGCAGACCTCCATTTGTGCCGTCATCGTGGAGGCAACCGGATGGGGATTCCGGTTTGTCAAGCGTTGTGCACGCCGAAGGAGGCCCAAGGTTGCATTCGTTGCGGCATTGCCGCAGCTCCCTGTTGATGTGCACCTTCTCTGCTGTGTGGTTTCTATATGAAGTTGGTGGCCTTAGTGCAGTTTCCCGTTTCTTTGGAAACGGATGGCATTATGCTTTCTCTTTAACCTTTTAGCAATGTACTGAGATTTATTCCCGTGAACTTTGTCGTTTTATATTAATGGATGTTTAAGTTTCAAAAAAAAAGTGAGTCGCGTAACTCGCATTGCCTTGCAATTGAATGGATATTTACAATGTCAAAAGTGGACAAAAAAAAAAAGAGATAGGAGGACGGCATGATAACTAATGATGCAGACAGATAAGAATTAGACTTGAATACAGACAACTTACCAAACCACCAGCAAAAATATCTTCAATTTTTATAATAGTAGAGATAGAGATATATGAAAATTGCATACACAGAAAAACTCGTGATGATATTCTCATGCAACTACATATGCATTTTTTTCACAACGAACGTATAAGATATCGGGCAGCCCTAATGGGCGATCGATCGCCCAGCCAATGGGGGTAGCGATCAGATTCGCTACCCCCCTCCCCCCTCCCTCCCTCCACCTGGTTTCCTTTTTTGGCACCTTATTACTTTTCTATTTTAATAAATTTATACACCTAAAGTTTATATACCTCAAGTTTACACATCTAAAGTTTAGAGACCAAAAGTTTATATATCCGATTCAAATTTGAATTTGAATTCAAATATTTTTTTATATATAGTATTTCTATACATCTAAAGTTTATAGACCTAAAGTTTATATATCCGATTCAAATTTGAATTTGAATTCAAATATTTTTCATATATAGTATTTCTATACATCTAAAGTTTATAGACATAAAGTTTATAGACCTAAAGTTTATATACCCGACTCAAATTTGAATTTGAATTTGAATTAAAATATTTTCTATATATAGTATTTCTATACATCTAAAGTTTATAGGCCTAAAGTTTATAGACCTAAAGTTTATAAGTCAAAAGTTTACATCCCCGATTCAAATTTGAATTTGAATTCAAATTTTTTATACATAGTATTTCTATACATAAATTTTTCTAACTTTTTGTTTTTTTAAAATTTTTTTGTGGTTTACTGTAGTATGAAGAGAAGGGAGCGGGTGGGTGATCGCCGAGCGAACGGGGGAGCGATCACCCGCCCATTAGCATTCCCGTAAGATATCTGACTCGCTACGCAGTTTATTTTTTTTGTGCATTTATGGCCAGCTTTCAAAGTTGCACACTTGCAATATGAGTACAGAACTGCTGAAAGCCTCGATTACATAGGCCAACACCATGTGACTGGTATAGCTGGTTTCACAACCTGTACTAGGTGGTGTTTGAGTAGTCCCTTCCACTCAAACACCACCCTAGTACTCCATATGAACATCTTGAAGAAAGTAAAAAATATGAATAAATAATCCTACCTATTCATACCCTTTATTTCCCTTCTTATGATTTCCTAAATATAAAAATAAAAAAACTCAAAGATGAGACGTGACATTTGGGCTGTAGGCTATTACGCAAGACAGAGCCCAACTCCATTGAAACGGAGCGGCCTAAATCAAAGCCCTAGGCTCTCCCAGGTTCTTCTTTTTCCCCCCAACACGATACGCCGTGCCCCTAAACGAGCTGAACTGAGTTAGCCTAAACAAACGAGCAAGCTTGATATCCAGCCATTTTCCTCACCTCTTCGTCGAGAAATTTAACAATATGCCACTCACAGAGGTGGCTTTAACATAATACCACCTTTAGAATGTCATTATTAAAATGCTACTCAATAGAGACAGCTTCTTAATAAAATACCAACTTTAAACTGTTTTAAGGCTTTTTTTTTTACATTTTTCACCAGGGCTTTGCTCGCGAAATGACCGAAATATCCCTTAGTATCGTTTAGATCAGAACAATGCGTTTTTCCTCTCTTTCTCACTACTTCTTCTCGGCGCGCTAGGGGCCGACGCCGCCACCGCCGCCCCAGCGCCGCCCCGTTCGCGCGAGCCCGCCCGGCCGCCGCTGCCGAGAGGAGCTAGGCGACGACACCGTCACACCGTCCCCGGTTGGCCGCCGCTGCTGTCGCCCGTCCGCGCGCGGCCGAGAGGAGCTAGGGAACGACCGCTGCCACCGCCGCCCCGTCTGCACGCCCCCGGCCGGCCGCCGCTGCGTCGCCCGTCCGCGCGCGCGTGCCCGGCCGCCGCCCCGTCTGCACACCCCCCGGCCAGCCGCCGCTGCCGTCGCCCGTCCGCGCGCGGCCCGACTTCCTCTCGGCTGCGCTAGGGGCCGACGCCGCCGCCTCCGCCGCGCCGTCCGCGCGCCACCACTCCAGCGCCAACGCCGGGAAGGAGTCGTCACAGCCGCCTGGGAAGGACACAGGGGTATTTTTGGTATTCTATTAAGGAGGAACATCTATTGAGTCGCATTTTTATAACGACATCTTATAGGGTGGCATTTGGCATATTGTTAAATTTCTCCCTCCTCGCCGCGCCGCTGCGCCTGGTTCCACAAGGTGTCAAGGTCTACGCCCATGGCGGCGACTCCGGCGGCGGACAGCCGCCTCCTCGTCATATACGCCTCGGAGACTGGGAACGCTATGGACGCCGCCGAACGGGTCGGCCGCCAGGCCGAGCGCGGCGGCTGCCCGGCCGTCGACGTCCTCCCCATGGACAGCTTCGACCCCGTAAGCTTCAAACCCTTGAATCCCCAGGGCCACGGTCCTCTCGCCTGACCTCTTGTGATCACAGCTCGACTTGATGCGCATGCTTGTTTTTTTTTTTTCAGAGTTGCCTTCCGAGCGAGAGGTTCGTGGTCTTCGTCGTGTCCACCACGGGGCAGGGTGATCCCCCGGATTCCATGAAGGTATTGGGGATGTGATCCGTTTGGTTTGGTAGGATCTACGTTTCCGATCTGCTAATTGGGTTTTGATTCAGTTGCTTTTGGGCGTGGCAGGGGTTTTGGAGGTACCTTCTTAAGAAGAATTTGGGTGCTAGGTGGCTTGAAGGGGTCAGATATGCTGTGTTTGGGCTCGGAGATTCAGGCTATCAGAAGTACAATGTGAGTCTTATAGCTTAATTATTAGCTTGCTATTGCTGCTGTAGTTTACTATTTTTAGGTATTGTTAGGCAATTATTATTAAGGCCTAGTTTGGAATGTTTGAAATTTTCCTAGTTCCTGTGGCTCTGGGGATTGAACTATTTCCTATGATTCCTTTTCTTCCAAATATGCTTGTGAAGCACAGTGCAGGATAAATGTTATAGCAGCAGTTGATGCCTTTCTCAAATTTTTGGGATCTTGTGAGTATGATTTTGGGAAACCTATTTGTACCTTAGCGATGACTTGTTGCTATGGTAACTGCTTGTAGTGTAATAATACCAAAGGTTTAGAAGTTCCTTTGAGTTACTACAATAGCTTGAGTAAAGCATTTGAAAGCTTGCTGAGGGCTATGGCCTATTTAGTTTGTCATTCTGTACTCTAAATATTACTTCTGTTGCATGTTCCACCATGCTGATATAGTGGCATCTTTTGTTTCCATCAAAATTTATCAAAGCAAATCCAGGCTAGTCCTACAAATGTTTGTTTTTCACAAATCATAATTATTATGGCTTGGAAACTTGTCAAGGGTTCCTGTTTCTGTTCTCTTCACTGATGTTCATCTGCTGCAGTTTGCTGCAAAAAAGCTCGATAAAAGGCTTTTACACCTTGGTGCAGAACCAATCATACAGGTAGGCTTGGGAGATGATCAACACCCTTCAGGGTATGTTTTAATTCCGTTACTTCTTCATTTGCTGTTGTTTCCATACCCGACATGCAAGTCCTGAAGAAGTTAGGTGCCAAACATTTTCCTGGTTGCCAAAATTTGTGCATTCTCCTTTTCTCTTCTCAAACGATTCCTCAAGTTTACTAAACAATTCTTTTGTTGCTGTTTACCAGATATGAAGGAGCTCTAGATCCCTGGTTGCTGTCTTTGTGGGAATCACTGAATCAAACAACTCCATCGCTGTTACCAAGAATGTATGATATCATTAATCCAGATTTGAGTGTCTTAGGAGATGCAAAAGTCGAAGTCATCTATCACTCTTCTGACGAGGCTCAACAAGATTCTAACCTTTTGGGTATGAAGTGACAATCTTTTAATATTTGGTGACTGCAAACAACAGGGTAATATTTCTTTTAAAATTCTAACATCCTGTTTATTCATCAGATTTCAAGAATTTAATTCAGAGAGCGCGCTCAATGTCCCCTTCTCTACAGTTCTATAATAATGACAAAGAACCACATTACATGTTACAGATGGTACGTTCTGTATCCTTTCCAAGAGCTAAAATTTGAGTCACCTTTCATGTTATTTTTGTCATCCATATTTCGATTAATGGTAACTCATTTATAATCTGATACTCTGTATTGAGGTTAAGCTTACTATGCAGTTCTGATTATAGCTATACAGTCATCTCAGGGTATACTCTGCACTTGCACACAACATACTGTCGTATGCCGTGTAAAGGGTAGAAGTTGTAACCCATAATTCAAATATTATATAAGTTCTATTGAACCAAACTGGCACTGACACTTAAAGTTCAATAGTAAACTTACTGGTGACTGCTGAGACACATTTTACGGATCTACTTTTCTATTTGTGCTGAACATATGCTTTCTGTAGTATAAAGGATTATGCTGTTGTTTGTTCTAACTTCTGAGACACCTAGACTAATTGCCCATTGTGGGGATGTCCTACCTGTTGCAGCATTATTGAATAGATTTGATGATGTAAAAATTGTTTTGTGCACTTGTGATTTGGTAGTTTTACCTTTATATGCTTAGTTTTTTGTTGTTGGTTGATGAGGTTGCTAAACTTTTTTAGGTATCAAATCGGTGTTTGACTAAGGAAAATTCTGACAGAGACGTGCGCCACTTTGAACTGGAAAATCCATCTTCTGTATGTTCTTTGTACCATTTATGATGTATTACCACAATCACTTTGTTAGGTGTAATATAGACAGATTGAAATTGTCTCCTTTTTTTTTTCATGTTAGGGCATCACTTATCAAGTTGGCGACGCGCTAGAAATTCTACCAAGTCAGAGTCCATCAGCTGTTGACTCTTTCATTGAACGCTGTAAATTGGATCCAGATTGTTACATAACGGTATGGGGATCTGTATTGTGGTTTCCGTTATATCATGTGGAATAATTACTTCTACCTTTGTGATTTTCTCTGCCACATATGCAACTTTATTTAGTATTGTCATACTTTTACTGTATGATTTCAAATTGGGAGCTTGGCGCTTACTGTTTACTGGGAAAAAAAATGAAATACTAACAGGATTTTCATGTTACTAGCAAGCAATCATCCATGTAGTCATTTTTTAAAAACAAAAAACATGTTGTTCTTGATTTTATCCCCCAAAGAATGTCGAGACATTTAGTTATTTCTTTGATATCTTCTCAATCAGTACCAACCTGTTATAGTTATGTAGCTAACTAGAGAGGATATTTTTCCTTTTGGTCTGCCCAGGTTCGAGCCAAGGACAGGGTTAAAATTTCCAAAGGTTCACTTTTGAAAGATCGTATCAAGTTAAAAACCTTTGTTGCTTTGACAATGGATGTCGCATCAGCTTCCCCTCGGCGATATTTCTTTGAGGCAAGACATCATCCTTAATGCCTTGTTTATGCAACAGCTTTTTTGTTTTTTTTATTTCTTATTGATTCTTGTGATATCCTGATGCCTACAAGGAAGTCTAATGTTTTGCTGTAGGTCATGAGCTTTTTTGCAACGGCTGAACATGAAAAGGAAAAGCTTCAGTATTTTGCATCTCCGGAAGGAAGAGATGACCTTTATCAGTACAATCAAAAGGAGGGCCGAACTATTCTAGAAGTAAGCAATGCATTTACTGAAGATTTTTCCTAATAATGTTCGTGCAGTACATGCCTCAGCTTTTTAGCTGATACATGACAATAGGCCTTCGTCCTTTTAACTCTTCATGGTTCAACTCTGACATGTGTTTTTTTTTTTTGCTGCTTTTAGGTATTGGATGATTTTCCCTCTGTACAAATGCCTTTTGAATGGTTGGTGCAACTAACGCCTCCATTAAAGAAAAGAGCCTTTTCCATATCATCATCTCCATTAGCAAAACCAAATCAAATACACTTGACTGTTAGCATAGTGTCATGGCGTACTCCTTTCAAAAGGATGCGGCGGGGTCTCTGCTCTTCATGGCTGGCTGGGCTAAATCCAAATGAAGGTATTCCTCGCTTCTACTTAATTACATAGAGACCTCTATGCGTGTGTTTTCTTCTGTTCTTTTTTTAGGTTGATTGCTCCTCATTTTGCGTGCCATAGTATTCTATTCAATTAATCCTAACTCCAGCTCTGCACACTGCCATGATAAAAACGGGTTACAAGTCATTCAATCCTTTCTTACAGTATGTTATTATGCAGAAAATCTTATACCATGTTGGGTACACCACGGTTCTTTGCCTCCTCCACATCCATCGACTCCACTTATTCTTATTGGACCAGGAACTGGATGTGCACCATTCTGTGCATTTGTTGCGGAAAGGGCTGCACAGAGTACATCAGAAGCAACAGCACCCATTCTATTCTTCTTTGGCTGTAGAAATCAAGAAAATGATTTTCTATACAAGGACTTCTGGTATGCTCATGCCCATGACCAGGGGGTATTGTCCTCGAAAAATGGCGGTGGTTTCTTTGTTGCCTTTTCTAGAGATCAGCCTCAAAAAGTCTATGTGCAGCACAGGATAAGGGAGCAGAGTGCAAGAGTGTGGAATTTACTAAAGTCTGGGGCTGCAATATACATTGCAGGCTCGTCTACCAAAATGCCAGCTGATGTTACAGCTGCACTGGAAGAAGTTATCTGTCAAGAAACCGGTTGTTCAGAAGAGGAAGCCTCGATATGGCTCAGGAAACTAGAAAGGAACGGCAAATTTCACACTGAGACCTGGTCATAGTTATGGTAGTTTCTAATCAAAATGGCTTAAAAATGTACGCATCGTCAGGTTTCCACAAATGTGTGGCAAATAACAAACAGAATTTTGGTGTAGATCAGTGTTGTTAAAATTGGAGAGGTATATTCACGTCCACATTCATAAATGAAAAATAATTCCTGGACAAAACAATTATAATGGGAAGACATAGCACGTCGGTTTAACCCCTTCACTTCCGGCTGGATGATGAAGATTTTGGAATGAGGATGAAGAGATATGGTTTTGATTTTGGATACTCTTGATGAATGATGACACAAGAAGAGAACATTTCATTAGAATTCAGGTGAGAGCATCACACACCAGCTCATGATGCATTTGATACCTCTGTATACCTTCGTTTCCATGCAGTTTCTGTTGGACTTCTAAGGATGCAGACTGTTGACACCGGTTGATAGGGATTCTTTAGTTCTTGCTACAATATGGTTAATATTCATTTCAACAATCATTTTGCATAGCGAAATGTTGCTAGTATTGTTGTTTGTCTTGTGGTTGTGAATTTAGACCCTACCTGCCATCTAAAGTATTATCCTCAACCTTAAGCAGACTGTTGATTTGACTTTCCATGGTGATGTGAGATTTATTTGGTTAGTACTGGAGCTAGATGGCGCCGTGGCGAGAGCCACCTAGGCTGTGGTTAGTTCACGCCAAAATTGAAAGTTTGGTTGAAATTGAAATAATGTGACGAAAAAATTGGAAGTTTGTGTGTGTAGGAAAGTTTTGATGTGATAGAAAAGTTGGAAGTTTGAAGAAAAACTTTGGAACTAAACATGGCCCTAGTTCAGTTCAGTTGGTCTAGTTTGCTACCCAAATGTTTATGCAGGTAACACCAACAAGGAGATAAGAGAAGTAAAATACCAGTGTTTAGTTCCTCCAAAAAAATTTTTTACGTATACGGACGCATATTTAAAGTATTAAATGTTTACTGTAGTACCATATTATCAAATCATGGTGTAATTAGACTCAAAAGATTCGTCTTGCAATTTACATGCCGGAATTTTTGGTGTAGTAAATATTTATTGTAGTACCACATTATTAAATGTTTTTTTTTCACATTTAATACTCCATGCATGTGTCCAAACATTTGATGTGCTGGAATTTTTGGAAGTTTGAAGGAACTAAACACAACAGCCTATGTTTATTATTGCATTCACAGCAGCCTATGTTTATTATTGCATTCACATACTGAACTATGTCGAACAACTAATCCCCTGTGTGCCGGTTTTAGAGTTTCCGGCACCGAGGGACACTATGGAAACTATTTCCTATTTGTTGTACTGTATTAGTGTCCCTCGTGCAATCCTTGTTAACAAAACGAAATCAAACACATTTGACTGTTTGCATTGCCATTAGAATTTAGGTGAGAGCACTGTACTACCATCTTCAGTCTTGGGGTCTTTGCCCTGCTTGATTGAGTTTCCTTAGGAATGATCGAACGGAGCTAGATGGCACTGATAAAGAGATAAGTAAATACTTGTCTGTTTATTGCACCCGCATACTAAAACTATACATCAAACAGCAAGCCCACCCGTATCATCTACTAGCAGGCTGGCGATGCTGGCAACACCATCCAAATAACAAAGAACCAAATTGCGTGCATACAAATATGTAAGATAGTAAGACACCATACAGTATAGCATCTGCATGGAGCCTAGCTAGATTCTAGAGCATAAGCAACCAACTCGATCAGGCGCCAAGATTGGCAGCCGATCATCAGCTAGCCGCTGCGTGTCCAGACGACGTGGTCCTGCGGCAGGAAGTGGCAGACCGGCACCGTGCCTGGCTTCACCTTGAGCACCTGGAACGCGACGTGCTTCGGGTTCCACCCGGCCGTGTCGGCGTGGCACACCGCGACGGCCTCCACGCCCGTGCCGTCCCTGCCGGCCATCGACACCGCGTACGCCCGCGTCGCCCGCGTCAGGTGGCACGCGAACACGGCGTACGCGTACGGCTCCGCGTGGCAGGCGACGAGCTGGTCCTGGTCGCCGCCGGCCGCCGCGCGCTTCACCGCCGTCACGGTGTACTCCTGCTCCGGCGACCCTTCCTTCCCGACCACGGTCGACGCGGCCCTCACGTGGCTGGTCCCGAGGCTCGACGTGGCGAAGTCGACCATGGACTCGAGCGACGTGGCGCACGCCTTCCTCTCGCCCTGCGCCGGCGGCGCCTCGCAGTCGCGCAGCGTCTGCGCCATCTCCGCCGCCTCGACGGAGCCCGGCTTCACGGAGAAGCGGCTGAGGATCTCCGGGACCTTCTCGGAGGAGAACGGCATGGCGTCGGCCTCGCTCCTGGGGAGGAACTTCTCTCCGGCGGTGGTGGCCGTGAAATGTACGGCCATCGTCTTCCCGGGGTGGAGGTCCTTCTCCAAGAAGAAGAGCGCCACGTTGGGGTCGTCGTGCAGCTGCGTCTCCGTTGCGGCGTAGTTGTAGATGAAAGGTGCGACGTTGACGTGGACAGGCTTGCCCCGGGGCTTCACGTTGACGCCGACGCCGCCCTTCCCGACGCCGACGGTGGTGCCCCCGGGCTTGCCGTAGCCTGGCTGCACGTTCACGCCGACGCCGCCCTTACCGACGCCGACGGTGGTGCCGCCGGGCTTGCCGTACCCAGGCTGCACGTTCACGCCCACGCCTCCTTTCCCGACGCCGACGCTGGTGCCTCCGGGCTTGCCATAGCCAGGCTTGACGTTGACTCCCACGCCGCCCTTCCCGACGCCGACCGTGGTGCCGCCGGGCTTGCCGTAACCAGGCTTCACGTTCACGCCGACGCCACCCTTGCCTACATCAACGGTTGTGCCGCCGGGCTTGCCGTGCCCCGCGTCGACATGGACGCCGCCCCCGCCGACGTTCACCGACGTGCCTCCGCCTGTATAGTAGGCAATCAAGGAGAAGAGAGTTCGTTAATAAGTTGATCAAAGTAATCTGTATCCAGAGTGTGGAGGATGGATTCAAATCCCTCTGTGGACATCCACCCGTTTCTTGCATGCCACCTAAATGATTATGATAAAATTCTAAAAAATTTCACAAAATAGGTTAATATGTAATATAGCACTTCACAAAATTCGACTTCTACAAGCTGTAGCAAAAATAACAAATCAAACTCTAACTAGTATACATATATTCACAGTCAAATTTGTTATTTTTGTCACAACTTGTAAAAGTCGAATTTGAACTTGCATGTTTGTGAAGTGTTATATTACATATTAACCTATCATGTCAATTTTTGTGAAAATTTTTTACAACCATTTAGATGGCATGCAAGAAACGGGTGGACGTCCACCCGAGTGTTTAAAACAGTTTCCCCCGGAGTGTATCAAAGCTGTTAGCTTAATCACCTGCAGTGCTGAGAAGCTGAGAGAGCGAGCTCGGGATGGGAGAGTTGGGAAGAGCTGATTTCCAGTATTGCTCCGGAGTCCGAGCGGCATGGCTTCCTACTGAAGCGATCTGTATGCAAATTTACAGGTTACTACAGTTTCAACGTGTTTCAGATCAGTACTCCAGCTTGAATAATACTATACTGATTTTGCTGAGTCTATCAAACGTGAAGCTCAATGGCCATCTCTCAGTTGCTCGATACATTCAGAAAGTGACCAGCTATGCAAATAGTACAGCAAAATCAGAGTAGCTTTGCACCTTGCTGGGTGAACTCGACCTGTCAATGTGCTATATACGTGCAAACCTTCTCATGTAACCGACTACAGCACCAACTGGCTTTCCACAAAAGTTCCTCTTTTTTTTATAACACAAAAAGTTACTTTTAGGTATGAGCATATACCAGTATAATACATGCTGAGAGTTTGAAACAGAAAAATGCTGTGACTGAGCTGAATCTTTGCATTTGCAACTGGCATGTGGCATGCAACACATAACAGCCATCAAAACAGGGCAGAACAGAGCATTTCCTTACAAAAATAACACCGCCTATGCATGTACTCCAAGAGGGTCGGAGATGATGAGAAAAATAAATAAATAAATAAATAAACAGACGAGCTGCCTGATAATGAGGAACTGACCAACAGGAAGCCAAGGAGGCAGGCGAGGAGCCTATCCATGGAGACGCCAATGAGCAAAACCTGACGAGGCAAAGATTGAGCTGCGCTTGGAACGATGCAGGTGATGGGCCTTTGCAACCAACACAGATCCGGGTTTATTTATAGAACCGGGACAGGGAGTAGCTAGGGAGTTGGGGGAATTAAATTGGCACAAGCCGATGAATTAATCGCGCTGAGCAATACAGCAGCACTAGCGCCACTGCTATGCCTGTAACAGTACAAGTAACCAGTGTGTTTACTCTGCTCCTAGCTAGAGATCGCTGTGTTGCTGAATGCTGACACGCGGAGATCACCGGAGATGGTACACCTAACAGTTACCGGTGCTAGCTACAGAGACTCCAACGCAGCCACAATTGGCTCAACCGTCCCTGCCTCAGCTGAGCTCGCGTTATTGAATGCCGCCCGCCGGCCATCGCCGTCGCCGTCGCCGTCCCATGCCGATGCCGGTATGCCGCATTGCCAACGCGTGGATCTCCTCCGGTTGACGGTTGCACGGTGAACTCATATCTCCGATCCTTCTAGTGTATAAGAACGCAAGCAATCACCGGACCAATCCATGGACCATATCGAACAGATGAACACCATAATTAAGCGTCCATCTCTGGTGGTTGTAGGATGTAGTTTCAGGGCACATATTGTCCATAGAAGTTATTAAATCTAGCCATGCTGGCCGGCATGTACCCGTGCACGTTGTACGGGCTAGATCAAGCGAGTGCGTGTATCAAATGGCGCAACCTAATTAGCTAAACAGTCCTGCGATGACAGAGCAATGCTGTTTGCGACTTTGCGTGCATGTAGCAAGCCTGAATGGCCACTAATGGAGTGTGGAAAACTGGGCAGCTCGTCTCACTTTCGGTTGGGAGTTGGCTGGAGACATGCGCAGGAACTTGAAGAACAAGAGCTGAATTTCCCCTGCCATACGTCGCGCACCCACCACCTTTCCGCCGCCGGATCATGAATTTGACTCATGGTTGGCGAAGGATTCTTTCTCCAGATATATTTCATGGTTCTACTAACCTAGGGTTTAAGCAAATGGATCAGAAGTACGCTGCTGTTTCCTAAGAACACTGTTGAGACTGTTAGTTAATGCACAAAACACTGCTCAGCTGTCATTAGTTAGGGTCAATTACTTGTTATGCATACCCATGTTCTGATGTTCAGATGCTCTTAACTGCTTTCTCCCATGGTGCAGCGCAATGCCACCGTACCAAGCCTGAAAGTGATCGAGATCGAGACTTTTACCTTCCTACTCTCCCCTGCAGGTACTTAGTTTCCAGAACCATCCCCTCAAATGAGCTACTAGTACTTTGTAGTATGCTTAATGTAATGCGATCTGGATGACTAAACTCTACCTGCTTGTGTACGGTCCTTTTGCAACGTTGCAAATGCTTCCTAGTTTATGACATACACTGTGCTGATCCATTGAAAGTAGCAACCAATCGAGCTGCACCGACACTAGAAAGAAATGGTGAGTTACGTAGTGAAGCGATCTGATCATCTGATCCAGTAGTATGTTTTGGTCGCAAACAGATTATCATGACTGACGGTGAGTTGGTGACGATGGAAGATTTCACCCAAAGAGAGAAAGAATGTACCATTGTTCTGGCCAGTAACCACCGAGAGTTGGTTAACGCGCCATGCCGCAATATCAGATTCTTTCCAAACTCCAGAGGCATTAAACCACTGGTTGCACTGCTTGTCTGAAAGACCGACAAATCTTCAAAGACTGCCTGATGAATGATATGGCATCTGAATGCATGCCGTCGATCATAAATACTCCATCCATCTCAAAATATAAATTTTTTTGGGTGGACAAGTCATATCTTAATACTACGAATCTAAAGATGCTATTATTTAGATTCATAGTTATAGCATGTATCTCATTTACCTAAGAATACTTGCCGTCGATCATAAATACTTCATCCGTTCCAAAATATAAATTTTATTGGGTGGAGGAGTCATATCTTAATACTATAAATCTGAATATCTTATTATCCAGATTTTTATTATCCAGATTTATAGTTCTAGCATGTGTCTCATCCACCTAAGATTTCTTATATCTGGGAATGGAGGAAATACATTACCACATTGCCATGTGCCAATAAGGAAGAAACAACATGTACTAAACACAAAAAGGAAATGGGATTAAATCGGATTTCTTATTTTTGCTGCATCGTTATTTTTCACCGGAGCCGTGTTTTACCATCGATTTGGCTATTCTTCGCATCCACGACGAGACGTTAAACTGGCGGTAAGCCAGTACGGCTCTCCTTAATTACGTCGTGGAGGTTGGACGTTGGTTGGTAGTACGACGTTACGTGCGAGTGACTGCGAAGCCATCCTTAATTTGCCACGGAAAACACCTTTTCTAGATGCGATGGTTAACTAAACTACTCGATCGTTAATTATGTTTTTGCGAAATAAGTTTCAACAATTAATTCTGGTGTGCGTGTCGGAACTATACAAAGATAGTTGAACAAAGCTGGCACAGTGGCCATCCAAATGATTCCGGACTCGCAGCAATGGCCCCATGAGCACCAGCATGGACACTATTCGCAGTACTCGAAGGAGTAATTTGGCCGTTGCACCTAACCTAACAGTCATCTTGTTCATGGCGGGAGGTGAGATCGCCCTGCGGCCCTGCCACATTTTTTGCAGTTGCTTTACTTGCGTACAAACCTTCTTCACTTCTTGTAGTGGGGAAAATTGGAGAAGATCTCTGCAACACCTAGGAAAGATTGAGCACCGGACAGATTGATCGCCAAATGATACTTGCTCATTAAAGTAGCAGCAGGACAATGATCGCCTTGTGGTGGAATGGAGAATTATTCAGATTCGGATTAATAGACCCAACTTTTGGATTAAAACAGGGCTTGATGGGGTGCATCCTTGTAGCTGAAGCTTTGCTCCATTGGATGTTTTTTTTACTTCTTCATGTTGGGCTTTATGTATTTGTCAGGTGGTAAGAGAGCTATAGTGTGAATCTATTCCGTTCAAAAAAAAATTCCGTTCAAAAAATAGTGTGAATCTATAGTTCGTAGCCCTTCCCTGTATGTGTTCTGTTCGTCTGTTCCTATGGAGCCAATATCTGCAGAAAAGCTCGTTCGCAAAAAATATATCTGCAGAAAAGCACTGCATCGGCATTCTGTCGGCACTCGGCACCCATGTTTCTCAGTTGGGCCGAGGAGCGTACCTTTCAATAAGACCCAGGCCTACATTGGATTTAGCCCAATGTAGTCGCTTTCGTTTTGAGAGATTCCCAATTGGAAAAAGTACACCTAAGGTCCCTCAACTTGTCATCGAGTTACAAAATTATCCCCGAACCACAAAACCAGGTCCCTTCGGTGGTTTTGATCCCGGTTTTGTCATACGTGGCGGCTGAGTAAGTGTGGAACCCATGTAGGGCCCCACATGTCAGGACGCCACGTAAGCACACTCTCTATTCCCCTTCCGCTCACTTCCTCACTCTCTCTCTCTCTCTCTCACTTCTCCTCTGCAGGATCACGGCCGGTAGGGGAGGAGTGCCGGCGGCTGGCGGAGGAGGAGGTCCGGCGCGGCAGGTGCGGCGGGCGCGAACGGCGGCCAACAGGGGAGGAGGGCCGGCGCGACGGGCACGGCCGGCGGCCGGCAGGGGAGGAGCCCCTGGCCTGGCGCGTGCGGCGGGGGCGTCTGGTGGCCGGCAGGGGAGGAGGGTCGCGCGCGGCGGGCGCAGCTGGCGGCCGGCAGGGGGGAGCGCAGCGGAGAGGAGGGCCGGCGCGACGGACGGCGGGGAAGGAGCGGGGATGGGCTAACAATGGGCGGGGAGAGGAGCGGAGGTGGAGACGGACGTGGTTGCGGCGTCACCGGCGACGGTCTCTTCCTCACCTTCGCCTCGCGTCGTCTCGCTCTCCGCTCTACTCGACGGGAGGCGACTCCAGCGGTCGCCCGCGCGTCCTCCTAAACCTAGCGGCGTTGGCCCTCGTTGGCGGCGGCGACACTAGCTGGCGAAGACGAGCGGGGAGAGAAGCAGCGGCCGACGGAGAGGAGCTTGGCGTTGGTGGTGGCGGCCGTCGGCTAGACCCAGCGAGCGCCGTCCTCTGCCAGGAACGCGTAGCGGCGAGACCGGACGTCGAGCCCGGTGGGCTTGTCCGAGAGGTCGAGCTCGACACCCATGGCGTGCGCAAGCTCCCCGTTGCCGTCGGAAAGGAGGAGCACCTCATCACGGCGGCATCATCCGAGACTTTGCAGACTCGCCGGCCTCCTCACTTCACCCCGTCGGCCTCCTCCCCACCTGCCGGTTGCGGTGGCGGTGGCGGTGGCGGTGGGGGCGGCGTGGGGGAAGGCCCTCCTGGTCTGGTGCTCCCGCGCTGTCGCTTCCTCTCATCTTCTTCTCCATGACCACTATAAATACACAATACACCTTGCCATGCACACTCCCAGGCCTAGCACACAGCAAGCAGCAGTAGCAGCAGCAAGCTCGAGCTAGCTACAAGTACAAGCTAGCAGCCTAGCAAAGCTCGATCGATAGCAATGGCGGCGAAGATGGTGCTTGTTCGGGCGGTGAGCCTCCACACCGTGGCCATGGCGGCGAGCGCCTGCGGCTCCGACTGCTCGCCGGCGCCGAGGTCGACGCCGACGCCCAGTACCGGGTCATCGTCGAGCCCACGCGACGCGCTGAAGCTGCGTGTGTGCGCCAACGTGCTCGGCCTCTGCTGCTCCCTGCTGCTCGCTGCTCGACGGCCTTCTCCCGCGTCGCAGCCGCCGCCCGCCGCCCGCCGCCTCCTCCTCTCACGCCTCGCCCCGGCGGCCTCCTCCCCAGCTGCCGGCCGGCTCGCCCAGAGAAGAGAAGAGTGAGAGAGAGAGGAGGAGGAAGAAAGGAGAGTCGGAGAGGAGGGGAGAGAGAGAGGATGATGACGTGGCATACTGACACGTGGGGTCTATGTGGGTCCCACGCTGACTCAGCCGTCACGTTGGATAAAATCGGGTCAAAACCACCGAAGGATCTAAAGTGAGCAGTTTTGATTAGTTAAGGGACGCCAGATATCTGGTTTTGTGGTTAAGGGACGATTTTGAATCTCGATGATAAGTTGAGGGACCTTTGGTGTACTTTTTCCTTCCCAATTTGCTCTTTTCGCCGGGCCATTCCAGAGTTTCCCAAACCACCGGAGCCGGGGTCACCGCGCCCCGACAGTAAGCACGGTTAACGCGCGGTAACCGTGGTAAACCATACGAAACCGTGTAAATTTTATCAAAAATTTAAATTTATTTGAATTTAAGGAGGTTACCGTGATTTCCTTTTAATGTACCCCGTGGTAAGCGCGGTAACCACAATAACCGCGCGGTTACCAGCGGTTTAGTAAACCCGCCATTCCCAATTTGCTCTCACATAGAGAATGCCCATCTCTGTCACTGGTCGCTGAAAAAGAACCAGTTTTTAGTAAACGAATCCAATTCATCTTTTTCCCCAACTCTCTCTCCAAGAGTCCAAATCTGGTTCCGTGAAAATATCTACAAAAAAGGATATTACAGGTTGAATGTCACGAGCACATGTTACCATGTTGAAAGTGGATGGCACCAAAGGTCGGTAATGGACGGGATGAGTTCGAGGCTTCGAGCAGGGGGGTGTTGGTCTTGTCATCGGTGGACATTAGTAGCCAAACCGAAAGGAAGGATACGAATTAACCACGCGAATAAGTTAGGTTGTTTCAGATCAGTTATTTCGAAGATGGAATTGACAGACCGCCACCAATGTTTCAAGCTTGGTGGTTTCTTCATGGTACATGGTACTAACTTCAAGGAGACAAATCAACAAACTGTGATTTCTATTGTGATGAAAACATTGGATTAGTAGCATATTCTGGGTAGTACTTAAGACTGTTCGATGCAAATTTCGGGGTAGTACTTAAGACTGTTCGATGCAAATTCAAGGGTCTAAACTAATTCTATGTATAATACTGTTCACACGTAGACGTATTGTAGCATCAGATCTTAATTGTTCATTGAAAAATAGATGGCTACGATTGTGTGCTATCTCTAACGTGCAATCGTAGTTAAGACTCTACTGGATCTCGCAGCCATCCATTTTTTAATTGAACGGTTATAAGTCCTGACGCTTCAGTTCTACTATTGCTAGTTTGCTACAGTACCTTCATAGGCATCGCAGAGAGGATTAAGAGCCTAGCTTGAAAGAAGAGAGTGGTCTACTGTCCTGAGCATAAGCCTAACATCTCTCTCTCAGAAGTCGTAAGCACGATACATTGAACAAAATAGGCGTTATTAGCCCCTCGATAGTCGATATATACACACAAATCCAACGATAGCTACTTAGCCAAACTCTCCTATTATGCTTAAGTACACTAACTTAACAGTAGGCAACTAAACCGAGGCGAAGTTACACTGTTGTTATATATACAACGGGGGACTGCGTACGTGTACACCTATCTGGCCCTGTTGCGGCTAGTAGAACACTTGGCCAAGAACAGAGAACGGGAACGGCACGGTGCCTCTGCTCTGCGCCATCTCGGCCGCGTCGCCGCCGGTCGCCACGCCGCCGCGCCCCGTGTCGGCCCCGATCCGCCGCCTCTTGCAGGGATCGGACCCGTTGTTGCCGGCCGCGGCCAGCTCCTCCTTCTTGGCGAGCATGGCGCGCAGCACGACGCCCGGTTCGTCGGCGAGCTTGGCGAGGAACGCCATCATCTGGCCCGGGCGGCTCTCGGCGGCGCGCAGCCTCTGGTCCATGGCCTGGAGCTCCTCCTCCATGCCCCTCTGCTCCTCCCGCAGCCGCTGCACCGCCTCGATGGTGCCCCGCACCTCCTCCCCTTCCTCGCACAGCTCCCTGCACCCCGGCGCCGCCCCGCCCTTCTTCTTCTTGCGCACGATCCGCGGCAGCAGCTGCGCCTGCCCCCGCAGGAACGACTCGTGCGCGAACTCCCACCTGTCCGGATCCACCTTGCGGAATCCCTGAGAGAGAAGACAGCAGCAACGGAAAGAGTTACAACCATGACGACACACGAAGCCACACACAGAGCTATGCACAGATGGCAGAAGCAGAGGAGGCGCATATACATACGTAGGTGTTGAGCTGCCGGACGAAGCTGGCGAAGTTGCGGTGCTTGAAGTAGGAGGGGAGGAGGAAGTCGGAGAAGGCGGCGGGGTCGAGCACGAGGAACGTGTTGCCGGCGCCTCCCCAGCGCACGACGGCGTTCGTCGACGGGTCGCTCACCATGTGGAACGTCTTCGCCACGAACGGCGCGACGGCGCCTGGGCCCCCGTCGCCGGCGGCCTGGAGCTGGTGGACCTTGCACTCGCCGCCCATCATAGTGCCACAACCGATCGTGTAATTCGCAAGTATCCTCCCGGTTCGGTCGTGGCAGCGCGCCCGCGGAACAGGATAAGAAAAAAGCGCTCGCTTTTTCCTCGCTAAGATTTGTTCCGTTCGTCGGTGGGGGCAAGGGAGGGAGTGAGCGCGCAAGATATTTCCGCCCGGGGCGGTGAGGCCTATATAGCGGTTTCGATAGATATATCTCACGTAGGCTCGGTGCGCGCGCGTGCCGACCTTATCGGGGTCGCGTCGCGGTGGTGGCGGCACGGGCTTGGGCCGCGAGCGCTCGGGCAGGTGGGATGGGAGGGAGTGCCCGCTTGGGGGCTCGATCGGGCAAACGGCGGCAACAAATGGAGGCATCCGATTTGCCCCGTGACGTGGTGACGGTGGTGCCTGCTGATTTTGCGAGGATTCGGGCTTGTCGCATACGGGCCACGTGTGGCGGCACACGGGCGTAAAGCGTCGCGCTGTCTCCCGCGGCATGGCATCTCCGTTAGGGAAGCTCGCCTCTTTTTTTTTTTTCTTGCTTTTCCTATTTTGGCTTGCGACTTGATATCGTTGTTATTGGACAGGACAGAAGATCGGTCATATAAATCTCGGTGTTCGGATCACATCCGATCTTTTCTGGTGTTCTCCTCCTCCGTATGAGAGCAGTATGTTTCCTTTGCAATTTACAGTCCATGTAATGCCCCTGAAACAAATAATTTTATGGATGAATTTTATAGGATTTAAACTTTATATTTTTTATATACTACAAAAAAATATCCCTGCTTTACAACAGATAAGACATTTTTTAATCAATATATGTTATATTTCCTTCTTAGTTTTAGGTCGAAAGCACATCTTTCCTTGTTTTCCAGCATCAACCTAGTATGCTACCACCCTCTGCTCGGCCCAGCTCACAAGTGGAGCTATGGGTCTAGCTCGCAGTCTTTAACCTCTGCCATGCCCCTACGATGCCGGAGCCCGGAGCCAATTCTCCCCCATCAAATTCGGCCAAATCTTTCTCGATCTTCTAAAATTGGTTAGGGCTTTTGATCACTCAATCTCCTCTTTTCGTTTTCCTCAAAATTGGAGTGAACAAAATTCAAGATAAAAACGGTCTGGCCGGTCATTATTGGCGACGATAAAGATTAAATCCGGCGAATTAAAACCGAATTGAAAAGGAAAATTATTGGAAAATTATGAGGAAGAAGTGATGAATCAATTTTTTAATCAATTGAAGGAGAAAACGCAAGAGGAGACATATCGACGTGGCGGTGGTGCTATGTAGCGCCCGTTCCGTCGTGGCGCTTAGCGGGAAAATTATCTCTTAAAAACCCTAATTGCGAAATTTGTTTCTTTGCTTGTTGTCTAGTGTCCGTGCCATCTCAAGATCTCAATCCCCGATCTATCGTCGAGTTCAATTCCGAATCCAAATCCTTCCAATCAAATTCCTCCGCAAAAGTCTATTTTGCCTCCCCCGAGGTCGATGGGCCGAATCTCGCTCGGCCCATCTTCCCCTCTTCCCCGGCCCCCTCTCTCCCCGGGCGCTCTCTCTCTCTCTCTCTCTCTCTCGCGCGCGCGCTCTCCCATCTCTCCCCTCCCCCGCTCAGCCTCGCCCGCACGCCGCGCGCGCGTGCGCGTAAGCCGCCGCCCCGAGCGCCTCTCTCCCCGCTCCCCCGCTCAGCCTCGCCCGCACGCCGCGCGCGCGTGCGCGTAAGCAGACGCGCCGAGCGCCCCCTCCCTTTCCCCTCGCTCTGCCGCGCCTGCAGCCGCGCAGCCGCTCGTCCTCGCGAGCCAGCGTGTGCGCGCCCGCGCGGACGCCGCCCGTTGCTTCCCGCGCGTGCGTGCCGTGGTGGCCGACCGCCCGGTCGCCGCCGCCGTCAGCCTCTGCACGCGCCTGTCGCCAGTGTCACCGCTCCGCTCCAAACCGCCCCGCCGTCATCACCGTCGTCATCGCCCGGCCCCCGCCCCTCCGCGCGCAAGCCGCCAAGGGACGGAGCCGCGCCCCTCCTCCCTCTGCCGCGATGCTCCCGTTCCCCTCCCCCTCTTTTTCCCGAATCGGCAAAGGGGCAAGCCCCTTTCTCCCCCTCCTTTTCCCCTTTTTCCTCCTCGCCGGCGTCATCCTCCTGCCACCGCTTTGGCTGCAAGCGCCGAGCGCCAGCTCGCGCCTTAACCGTCCAATGTCGGTTCCCCTCTCCCAAACCGACATTGCCATCCATTTAAGCCCAAGCCCTCCCCCTCCAAACTCTCTCATTTTCGCCTCCGCGCCATTGCCGCCCTCTGTTTCGCCGTCGCCGATCGTCGTTGCGCGTGTCGGAGGAGCCGGCACGAGCAAGGACGCGGAAGAGGACTCCGGCCGCGCCCTCTCCTTCCTCTTCCCCGGCCCGAGGCCGGAGAGATTACTCCCGCGCCGTCGGCCTCTCGTCACAGCGCCCCGACCCGCACGGTAGTGCCTCTCTCCGTTCTTCCTCCTCGCTCCATCTCCCCCCCCCTTAGTTTTCGGTGGTAGCACGAGTAGCCTCCCCGTAGCTAGCCGGCGCCGCCCCGACCGTTGCCGTCGCTCGCCGTGTGCTCGCCGCCGTCGCCGCCCAAGCTCCGTAGCACCCGCTCGTCGCCGGCCTCGCTCGGCGTAGTTCCGTCCAATCCGACGCTAGCGTCGAGTTCCCGACGCCGCGTAGATGCTCTCACCGCCGGGAATCGACCTCTCGTGACCTCGTCGCCGTTTCCCTCTTCTCCCGCCGCCGGTTGCCGCCGCCGCAATCCGCCGCCGTCGAGCAACCTTCGGCGAATCCGAGCCGTTGGCTCGTCTCCCCTTGTCACGTGCAACCGCCCGGTGTGCACGCTTTTGCCCGTATCACCGTGGTTCGCTCCGCCGCTCGCCGCCGCCGCCCGCCGTCCATTCGCGGCCAGGTCGTCGTCTACCTCCCGCCGGCCCGCGTGGCAGCCACGTAGGCGCCACGTCGGCGCCAGCTCAGCCTAGACCGGATCGAGCCGACCCCGGTCAGTCCCTCCCCGTGCGCGCGTTCCACCGCGAGCCGTGAGGCTGCGCGTGGGCCCGCCGCACCTGCGTCCACCGCGGACCGCGCGCATGCACCGCGTCCCTTCCCCGCCCGCGCGCGTGCGTCGCGTGCTCCCTCCGCACGGTGAGCCGAGCCGCTGACAAGCGGGTCCCACCCGGGACCGCGCGTGGTGAGCCCGGTCCACCGGCTCTCTCTCTCCTCCCTCCCGCGCGCGCGCGAGTTTGGGCCGCCTTGGGCCGGCCGGCCCATTTAGCTCGGCCAGACCGCTCCATTTCTCTTGGGCCGCGCCCTAGCTGTCCGAGAAAAGTCTATATTCCCTCCCTCCCTTCTTTTCTTTTTCTTTTCCAAAAAGGATTTACATAAATCCTTTTTCCTTTAGACCAAAAATCCGATAATCTTAGAAATTCAATATCTTCCCAACCGTAAATCCGATTGACTCCGTTCAACTTCCAAAATTCCTCAAATCTCGAGATCTATCTAATGGCACGCTTAGAGGTCATTAATAGGGCTTTATTTTCGCCGTTTGTTGAGTTGTCCCGTTTCGCGTGTAGTTTCGGAGCCCGAAGACCCGCAGTGCGAGGATTTCGAGGATCAAGCTCCGGATCTCGAGCAAGGCAAGCCACCTTTGAACATCTTGAGCCTATATTTGAAATTTAATTATATTGCTTGCGAAATATTATGCATTGATAGGATCACACTTAATCTGTTGTCCTGTCTGCAAGGCAGATTGGCAGACCTACCTAATTTGTTACATTTGATCCTTCCTTTGTTAATTGTTATACCATATCCCCTTGTAACCACCCAGTTGCGCCTCGATATTCGTGCACTCTGTGCGAGTATCGACGGTCGCCTTCAAACTTAAAATCTGAGTAACAACTTGGGTAAAACTGGAGTTTTACAAAAAACTTGGAAAACCCGACACCTGGGTCGGTGATTGCGAACTAAATGAATTTCCAAAACCGCGGACCGGGGAACGTACCGGGTGTACGGTTTCCCGCTCTCGCACTTAAGGACCGATTCCCTTGGAATTTCATCCAAACATAAGACAAGTACGACCACATGGGTGGAATGGGACACCCCTGGCTGAGTAACTAGCTTATCACGGGAGCCTTGATGCCGAGAGACATGTGGATTCGCCGGGGTGGTGTCGGGGAGGACCCCTGGGCTTCCTGGCACAGTATGGTCTGGGACCTAACCTGTTGTTGGTCTGGGACCCCTCTCGTCGGCATATGGTAAACCTGTATCGGCTTTCGAAATGCCTTGTCATGAAAGCTTGGAGGTCTCCCGACGTGGCTGATCCCCACGGGCTGGGTGATCCGGGTTAGTAATGTCGTGTGGGTAAAGTGTACCCCCTCTGCAGAGGTTAACAAACTGCTCGAACAGCCGTGCCCACGGTCATGGGCGGATGTGAGGTGATTCCTAGCGTAGTTTTGTTTGACTACTGCTTGTGAAATTGCTGTTGTGAAAAGGGGTTCGATGTTTGAAAAATCTGCAGCTGATGGGATCAGCTAGGCCCGGGTGGCCGTTTGAAAAGTTGTTGGCCCGGGTGGCCGTTTGAAAAGCTGTTGGCCGGGTGCCAACCTTGTTGCAATCCTAAAGACTGACACATTGCACATACTCCGACCGGACGAGACGCACTGTCTCATCCGTGTCGTTTGAGAAGCACTCACTTAGACTTTTTAGAAAAGAGTTCAAACAAAATCAATTACGAAAACAACAGCCTTTCCTTGAAGCCTGCATTAAACACTTATTTCCCCTAGCTTGCTGAGTACTCCCGTACTCACCCTTGCTCTATATAAATAATCCCCCCCCAGTTGCTGAAGAAGATGAAGTGGATCCTGCTGACGAGGAGTTCTTCCAGGAGCAAGTCGGCTACGATGAGTTTTAGGGTTTCGGCCTAGTTCCCAAGTCGCGCCTGTGATGATTGGTCCAAGTCCTGGCTTCCGCTTTCCTTTTGTAATGCAGTTGTGAGCTCGGGATCTGTCCGCAGCCCAACATGACTGTACTTCTACTCTATAATAAAGAGACCTCTGTTGCTGTGATACTCTGTCTCCCTGTGATACCAGCACTGTTTCCTGGGACTGGTATCGATTAACAGGTTAATTTGGAGCGTCACGGGCTAGTTCCGGTCGGGACTAGTTCGGGGCGTGACATGCTAGGCTTTCTCTTTCCGTTTTCCTCAAAATTGGAGCAAA